GAGGTGGAGAAGCAGTGGTTTTGCTTGTGTGCTCAGAAGGTGTCTGGAACTGACCATGTTGTACCTTACTTAACTGCTGGCTCTCCTTGTGGTATGGGTCAGTTGTTTTCCCTTTCCAGGGATTTGCCATTAATTCTTCCAGCTCCTGGGCTAAGTGTGTGCTTAGGGACATGAAAAGTGGTATCAACATCTGCTAGTGTAAGACACTGACATCATTTGGGTTAAAGATGGTGAAAACTGACATAGGTCCATCTTCTTTGTGAGCTTGTCTCATTTTTGGTTCTCTCCCACTGAACATTCACTTTCCTTTCCTGAATGGTTGGCTTGCAGACTTTAAGCTCTAGCATCAGATGTGGGGCCAATCATTTGACAGTTTCCCCACAATTACATAAGGTCAGACCTCTGTAACAAATCTGTTGATCTATGACCACAAAGCTTGCTCTGCTTCTGAAAGAACCCCGAGTGACACAGAAAGGAGTAATGCTTGGGATCAGGGGAGAGCTTTAGTTGGTTAGGACTCCAACAAGGAACCTGATGGCAAAAGACTCAGGCTCATGCAGTTCATAGAGGTCCACCCAATTTGTGTAGAGGGGACTGGAGGATGGCTGGGGAGAAACAGATGATCCAGAAGCATTGGGCTTCTGAAAAATGACTCTCACACTTTAGGACACTCAATGAAAGAAAAATAGCCAGGGATTTTCTAACCAGCCACACCAATCATCATCTCCAAATATAAAGTCCATAGACAAACAGTATGAATATACAATAATTCATGGGATGCTGTCTATGTTCATCTTAGACTAGAGAATGAGCTACCATTTTAAATTAGACTCCAGGTAGATACCTCAAAGAATGAGGATTAGAAGTTCCATTTGACCCAGCTATCCCTCTGCTGGGTATCATCTCAAAAGAATTAAAAGAATCATACTACAGTGATATATGCTCACACATGTTTATAGTGGCACAGTTTGCAATAGCAAAAACTTGGAAGCAGCCCAATTGCCCATCAAGAAGATGTGCTTTTTCTATAAAATGGAATAATACTCAGCCATAAAGAATGAGCAATTAGAGTCATTCATAGGAAAATGGATGCATATTTAGGTCATACTCTTAAGGTAAATAAATAAGTCGCACATGTGTAAATACCAAATAGTTTCTCTAGTGTGAAAACTAAAAGTGTAAATAAGATCCAAATGGTATAACTGATGATGTGAAATAGGAAGAAAAGGGCTAAAGGCATAGGGGAAGTGGGAAAGGTGGGGGAAAGGAAATAAGGGAAAAGAAAAATATGAGAAAAGGAAAAAATGGAAAAAAGTTTTTGTAAATAGGGAAGGGAGAAGGGGGTGAAGGGAGGGCAGGGGTATGGGGAAAAAATGAGAACCAAGACCTGTCATGTAAAGGTACAAGATCCCAATCATGAATGTGTCTAATAGGGAAGGGAGAAGGGTGAAGGGAGGGCAGGGGTATGGGGAAAAAATGAGAACCAAGACCTGTCATGTAAAGGTACAAGATCCCAATCATGAATGTAACTGTAGTGTATACCCAAAGAGTACCAATAAACTCAATGAGAAAAAAATAAATTAGACTTCAGGTGTGATTGCTATGTATAACAAACATTATGTGTATGAAAGTGTACCAATAAAATTAATTTTTAAGAAATTGAAAGAGGAAAGAAATAAAATGCACTAATACCCTAAGAGATAATTTTTTTTACCATAAAAATAGATTCTAGATAATCAGGAAGAGAAGAGAGGAAATTACCAACCAATTTCACTATAGACTGATAGTAAGAAACTGGTAGACAGTATCCACCTGCCACTCCCTGCAAATAACAGAGAACATTAAGGCATTATATAAAGACATTAATATAATGGTAACCAATAAAAGAAAACACAAACTTTCCTAAATATCAAAAGACATATTTCCCACATGCTATGCAGTGTAAGACAAGTAGGTATAACATGAAGCAATATGGCAAAACTGAAACCAAATATCAGTCCCATCAATAAATATATAAACATCTCCCATTCTCAGTAATGGTCTTAGTCTTCATTTCACTGAGAAGATGGGGACAATTGTAGGAGAAATCCACAAACTAGCATCTTATCAACCAACTTGCATATGGATTGATTGGCATGTCATGGGAGTTGTCTAGTCTTTCAAAAAGGCTACCTTTTCCTCCTATGCACTAAATTCCAATTTTTCCCTACCCAGAATATCAATCTATTACTTCCTCCTCTACTGAATTTCCTATAGCATAGAAACATGAAATTACATCTATCTATTAGAAAGAAACCTCTTTTGACTATACATCTCTGTTCATATAATTTCTCATACCTTTAGTGCCTCTCCTTGAGAGTTAAATTCACTGTTCCTGGTGTGTCCCCTTCAGTTTTTCTTGTAGCTACTCCATTGTTACAGTGCTGACCTCATCTCCAAGATGGCCCAGAAATCCCCAACTCCAGGCATCCGTGTGGTCTCCTACACCATACAGAGGGTGGTTTGTGAGATCAAGCCAGCATGCTGAAAGATGATCTCCAAAGCCAGGTTACAAGGGAGACTGTGGCTTCTACCTTGCTCTCCTGGATCACCCATCTGGGGAGATGCCAGCTGCCGTGTTGGGTGGATATTCAGGAAGCTCTAGGAGTCAGGTATAGTAGTGCATGCCAGTACTCCTAGCATTGTGGGAGGCTGAAGCAGGAAGATCATAAATTTGAACACTGCCTGGACAATTCTGTGACTTAGCAAGAGTCTGTCTCAATAAATAAATAAATAAATAAATAAATAAATAAATAAATAAATAAATAAATAAATAAATAAATACGAAAGGAAGGAGGGATGGAGATGTAGCCCAGTGCAAAGGTCCTAGGTCCAATTCCCAGTATTGAAAAATATAAAAGCTCTATGGAGAAGTCTGGTGATGAGGATCTGAGATGTCCTGCCAATAGCCACGTGAGACAGCCATCGTGAAAGTGGAACCTTCAGACCCAGTGAGATCTTTCAATGACACGTCCTTGAAAAGACCCTGAGTTAGCACTACCTAGCTAAGTCTCTCCCAGGTGTCTACACCTCTGAAATGGTGAGAAAATAAATGTTTATTGCTGTTGTAAGCTGTACATTTCAGGATAATTTTTTGTACAGCAGTAGACATGAAATATATTACTTCATTATGGGCTGAACTGTGTCTCTCCAAAGTTTATGTTGAAGTCCTAACAATTCCCAGCACCTCAAAATGTGACCTTGTTTGGAAATAAGGTCATTACAGATGTAGATAAGATGATACTTTTGCAGGTGTATCCGTAATCCAATATATCTTTTTAAAAAGGAGAAATGTAGATGCAGACAGGCATAAAATGAGAACACCATGGAAAACTGGAGTTATGCTGCCAAAAGGCATGGAACTTGCAGTACCCAGGCCTGGGACAAGTCTTCCTTTAGCACCTTCAGAGGAGAACACAGTCTTCCAATATCTTGAGTAGACCCAGAACTATGAGACAATAGATTTCTGTTGCTCTAGACCATAGCTTGTGTGTTATAGCAGCCCTAGGAAACTAATAGACATTGCACATCATGTCTCCTCCCCTTTGGATACCTTTAGGATTTTCTTTATTAAATTGATTTTGATTTTATTGTGTTTTGAAATTTGATTTTGAGGGGCCTTGTGACTTTTGTCCTGTTTGAAGTTTATTGAACTTCTTGGATTTATGGATTTACATTTCTCATCAGATTTGAAAAAATGTTTTCCAACACAAAGCTCCATCTATATAATATTAAATCAAACCAATAAAGAAATGATGGGTAAAACTGTGGTTTGCCGCCAAATCAAGTAGGCAAACAGAAGGCACAACTACACAGCTAGCTAGTATATAAATCTTTAGCACACAAAAATATATTAAAAAATACAAAGCAATTCACCAGTTTCATCTACAATGAACACTAGGTTTTACAAGGTCAAGCAGAATATTAAAACTAAGGGATAAATTTAGGCATATTTGGTACAAAATTAAGCTTTTTGAGGCAGGCACTGGAACCACTGAGCTAAATCCCCAGCCTAAAATTAAGCTTTTTAACTCCATCAATAAATAGTTTTTTCAGAAAATACACACAAAAATAGTTTTTAAATTAAATATAATAAAAATCCCATTCACAACAGCAATCAAATCCTTTAAGTGACCATGAATAAAATTCACAGGAAAAGAGCAAGATTGGACTACACATACACATATTCATGTCTGTTTATATTCAACTATATAATGCATGGATATGTGAATACACTTACATATACATCTAACCTATGGAGTAAATGAACAGATGAATTCTGTTTATATTGTGTTCTCTGAGGCACCTTTTCCCCCAAAGTAGCACTTCTCGCTCCACCTGAAAAAACAAAAATTACAACAAAAAGTAGCAGGTAGGAATCAGGATGATATATTTATTATTGATAAGAGTTGGAGAATGCAGCTTAGTGTGATCAGCAAATAGGCCAATTAGTTGGAAGACAGAATTAGACCAAATGCCAGCTCAAACACAGACAATGCCCATGACAAGAAGTAGTAGAGAAGAAAAGCACCTGATAAGAAAGACTATGGAGCCAAGCAAACTCCACTTACTTTTCCTGTTTTACAATTAGATACACTTATTTCCTCTTCCAAGGGGCAGATGTGTAATGTGATAGAGAAGCCAATAATGAATTTAGGGAAAAAGCTCCCTATGGAAGTCAGGACTTAACACACTAATCTCATAAAAATGTCATTCTGCCTAACAGCATATATCCATATAACATAACTCTAATGAGCATTTCAGAGGCCTTTTTGTCCTCAATATTTGTCAGAAAAATTCTAAAGAACACCTCTATGAACATGTTAATTTGAGTACCCAGGAGATTTTTGAAAATATTAAATGACATAATTAAATCACTTACAGAACAGGAGAGAGCACAGAGAGCTAAATACTTTTTGGATTCCGATGCCACCTGAGTTATCTTTGCTGTTCAAATCTGCTTAATTCTGCATTTTTTCCTGCTGCCACTGCTGTTTTCTTGACTCTGTTGGAAGCTTCAGGATCACTGCAGGATCAATGCATAAATCTCATTAGAAGTCTCAGAAAGGACTTTCATGAGTACAGCTTTATCAAATGTTTGTCTGAGGTATAATCACCATGCGCAGATAGGGTACCTGGGTAGTCCTTTCAGCTTCCACCTTTGCAGATAAGGAGGTTGGTGTCTGTTACTAAAAGACTATGGAGACAGCGTTAGAAGACAAAAACAAGCATAATACACCATAAACTTATAAATTACTGAATTTTCATAGGAAAAACTTCATATTGATTTGGAGTGAGAATTAAATCCATACACCTGGTAATGTACTTTATCAAGTAACACTGAAGAGAAAAATCTAAGAAGTAAACTTAATGTTTGTCTCATCATCTGGCATGATGTTTGCATTGTGAACTTTCATAGTTCTCTCTGATCTCCTGTTTGGAGTTTACTGAACTTCTTGGATCAGTGAAGTTACATGTCTTATCAGACTCGAAAAAATTTCTTCCAACACACAGATTTGTCGTCTATATAATGTTAAATCAAACCAATAAAAAATGATGAGTAAAATCCTGTTCTGCTGCATTAGTTAAGCAACTTCAATCTTTTGCCAGTGGGTACTCTCTGATATTAGAATGAAGGCTGATTTATGGCAGAAAATTTTCCCACATCCATTACATTGATAAGTCTCCATTCCTCTAGGTACAGTTTTAGTATTATGTAAATTATTTGATTTGTTGCTTTGTTGGAACTTGTTCTTTGTGAGTTTTCTGGTGTAAGAGGGAGTTGGATTTGTGGTGAAATGTTTTCTGACATATGCTACTTTCATAGGGTTTCTATTCTGTGTGTCTTTTCCGATGTTCAGTGAGAGTCCACAGATGCCAGTAGGTGTTCCCACTTTCATTACATTTCATTCTTTTCCTCTCTATAGATTCTCTGATGCACATGGAAGGCTGACTTGTGGCAGAAGGATTTCCCACACTGGGTACATTCATATGGCTTCTCTCCTGTATGAATTCTCTGGTGTTCAGTAAAGGGGAACTTCTGGTAAAATATTCCCACACTCATGACATGTGTAGGGTCTCTCCCCAGGGTGTGCTCTCTGATAGTCAAAGCTGACTTCTAGCAGTAGGGCCTCCCACATTAGTTGCATTCATAGGACCTCTCCCACAGAGTTCTCTGATGTAGAAAGAGGTGTGAGCTTTTGTTAACCATGTGCCCATGTTCATGACATTCATAAAGATTCTTCATAGTATTTATTCTTTTATGTTCACTGTGGTTTGACTTCACAATGGATGCTCTACCACATGTATTAAATGCATCATGCTTTTCTCCAGTGCAAGTTCTCTGATGTATAGTGAGTGTTAACTTTTGACAGGAACATTTCCCACATTCATAACTCATGAGACTTCTTTCCACTATGAACTATATGATGTACAAATGAGGGCTTATTTGGTACATAAAAATTTACCACACTGACCACCCATTTGTAGGGTTTCTCTCCTGTATGACTTCTGTGATGCACACTGAGGGCTGACTGACAAAAGAAAGTTTTCTCACATTCACTACATTCATAGGGCTTTTCCCCTGTGTGAATTCTCTCATGTGCAGTCAGAGCTGACTGACAGAAGAAGGTTTTCCTACATTCCCTTCATTCATTTGGCTTCCTCCTCTTTGAGTTCTCTGATGTATAATGAGGTAAGATTTCTTACTGAAGGTATTACCATATTCCTTGCATTCATAGGGTTTCTCCCTGTGGGGGACCTGAAATGCTCAGTAAAGGTTGACTTCCAAAAGAAGGTCTTTTCACATTCATTACGCTCTTATGGTTTCTATTCTCTGTGAATTTTCTGATGTATAATGAGGGCAGATTTGTCAGTGAAGGTTTTCCCACATTCACTGCATTCATAGAGTCTCTCTCCTGTATGAATTCATTGGTGTTGAGTGAGGCTTGTCTTTACAGGGAAAGCTTTCCTACAATCATCGCAAGCATAGGGTTTCTCCCCTGTATGGATTCTCTGATGTTCAATGAGGGTGGACCTTTTACAAAAGGTTTTCCTGCATTCCTCACATTCATTTGGCTTCCTTGCAATACATCCCCTCTTCTGTGTGGAAAAAACCAGCCTCTCAAAGAAGGGCTTCCTGCACTTACTAAGATCAAGAGTTTGCTTCAAAGTTTGAAAGCTCTGGTGCAGAGTAAGATCTTCATCTTGATATCTGGTTTTGCTAACTTGATCATGTTTTTATCTTTCCATGCCAGAATGAATTTTCTCATGCTTAGGGATAGAGTTCTCTAACAGACAAAATGGCCTCATTCTACATTCTAAAATGGCTCTGGTTCCTAAAATGGTTCCTGCTTACAGAAATGAGCCAGTGGCGTTAGGTGAAACCTACTCCTTCTGGAGAAACAAAACCAAACTTGTTTCTCCATCCTGCTACTCATGTGATCCTCCCCTTCCAATCACCTGGTGTCCAGTTGCCTGTGCAACAACCTGACTAATTCTCAACTTTCATGATACTCTCTGCACTGCACCACCCTATATAAACCTCACCCCAGTTAGTCTCACCCTCTCTCGCCATTGCTCCAGGCAGCCCAGTAGCTCCTTCCCTGGATAAAGCCTTGCCTAGGGTGCTCCTGTTTTGGCTCATTTTCTTTTACTTAGTATGGAGCAACAGCTTCTCGTATCCATTATGCTCAATGGGAATCTTTTTATTGTCCTTGCTTTTCTTTACAAGGATAATTTAAATAGTTTTCAAACCATTTGCACCTCAATCAGACATGTGTGACATTTTTCTTGAGGGAACAATATTCATGCCCAAAGTAAATGTTTTCACAGATACATTAGCTCTTTCTGTAATCAGTGTTTTGTTGTTGAACAATGCAATTCACCTTAAATATTTTTCTTGGATTTCTTTGTCCTTCTCTAAGGCATCATCACATTCTAGGAAAAAAAAATAATAATTTGTGAATCTTTACATCATTGCTGTCAATGAAAATCCTTACAAATGCCTCATTGAGGGCTATTAGATTTTAGGGCCAGCCCCCAGGACTAACAAAAGTGCAAGTGCAAGTACTTCTTGTTTGGTTGATTTTGGAGCAAAAAAGAAAAATGCAAAGCCATCCATAACAGGCATTTAACAAGGTAAAAAGGAATAGGAAACTTGCTGAGAATACAAGAGCCTTTGACATTTACAAGTACATTCTAAACACAGAATGGAAAAAAATTAATCATAAAGAACAGAACATAAAGTATACTAAAAGTATGGCTGACAGAGTACTGAAACAGATGAGTTAAGTAATTTAAGACTAAGACAGTGATGTGGTGAAGCCAGGTAAAACAGACCACAGGAAGATGGTCAGTGTTATCAAAAAACACAAAGAAGGGGTCAATTTGAAATTTTTACAGTGACGTATGAACTCCGGCATTTGTGGAAATAGAAAAATGGCAGCCTGGACAGGGCTGGGACTAAAGGGAGGCAAGCAGGACAACCTTGTAAGTGGGAATCTTCTTAGATTCTGAGCTAGGAGCCTTCTTTACCTCCTATTAGTCCTTCCAGAGGTGGGGCTGGGGCAGAAAGGGAAACTGACTTATTTCTCAGTTAAGCAATGGAAGAAAGAAGCAACTAGAAAGATCACTCAAATCAGGCAAGATTTATTTGATTAAACACAGAGCTAGGAATGTTTGAATAGAAAAATATGTCTATGACAACGGTGGGTGGTACAAGGGAGTTAACAGAATGCTATAGAAATAAAGGTGTGGTAAAAGGAACTTGAATTCTGGGGATAGGAAACTTAGGGGCAAAAGTATTTGTAGGTTTCAATTAAAGGAGTGTATTTATTTGGGGAGATTGTTTTATTTATTTATTTTAAAAATTTTGTTAGTACTTATTTGCCACATAAAATGATCACATTCACCATAGGGAATTTGTACCTGTACATGATGTGTCTAAATTCTTTTTCCCCCATTCCCCTCCCCTCTCTTCAACCTTTCTTTCCCTCCGCATTTACAAAAGCTTTGTTTCCATTTCCCCCTTCTATTCTCTCTCTAAAATCCCCTTTCCCTTCCTTCCCTTGCCCTCTTTCTTCCCTGGTTCTCCTTCCTACTTGGGCATGTTCTTTCTACTTCTCAATATCTTTCCTCTGTTTTTACTGGGGAGAGTGGTTTGGTTATTCCTATCATGGCCGTTAACTGTCCTCAGTCACTTCCATAGGCCTGGTCCTACACAAAAGGATTCCTGGAAAACATTACCAAGATACCAGATGTGATCACTGACCACCCTGGCACTCTTATTTACTTTGGGTTCCCACCTGCTTGGTTATCATTCACTTACCTGTGTAGTTCTGACTTGAGAACTCATCCACTATCCATGGTTCTTCTCCTTGCTCTGATCTGAAGATCACACCTCTTTGTTCATATGAAACCCTGTTAATGGGAAGTGACAGAGAACCTGGACCAAACTCTTTGGACTTCAAGGACTCTGAAGGACGTAGAAAGTATAGCTTCTGAAGCTGCTCCGTAAAGATACCTAACCAGAGCTCAGTGAAGCCAGAGCATTTTGGTGAAGGTGGGGGGAAGTAGACACACACACACACACACACACACACACACACACACACACTTTGGTTGCTGTAAAGGGCTTCATTGTCTTTCTCCCTAATACAAAAGACTAGAGAATTAAGTTCTAGAAATGCAACATGTTGGGAGCTATGCAGGGAAACTGCTTATCCACTGCAGCAAGGTTGCTGTAGTTCTCCAGCATCACATCTCTCTACAGGAGCCCCTGAGCAGGTTCCAGCTGTTGCCATTCTTCCTGGACTGATTGTTCATTCAGATCAGAGTGGAGTTCACCGATTCATAGAGAACAAGACAAACACCACCTGCACACACACACACACACACACACACACACAGAGATACACACACAGAAAGAAAGAAAAGCAATGAGCAGGCACAGGAACCCAAAGGGACAGAAAAGCACACAGCATGGGCCTGATTACTTGGGAAGGAGCCCCACAGGCAATGTGCAGCCTCTACATCTTGTGGAGATGGAAAACATGTAGTCCAGGGGGACAGAATGGTTCTATAAGGAAACGGCTCCTGATTATGGCCACCGTGTAAAGATAAAAGGAGTAAAGAGTCAAGAACAGTCTAAACAGTGAGAACATGGTTAAAGGAATGTCCAGGAAAGTAAATGTGCATTTCCATCCCTCTGCAGTGGTGCTCAGCATGGCTGATGTATGTCACACGGGGCATTCAGCACATCTGTGCGAGAATTTTTTGGCTGTCAAAGTTCCGTGGCATTTGGTAGAAAGAGAAGGAACGAGGCCTATATCAGGCCAGGCAATCGCATTCAAGGAAGAAATGCTCCAGCTTACGTTTAACTTTCTAATACTCCACACGTTAATACAGATGACACATCTGTTTATAATAACCTGAGCATACAACCTTATTTTAATTTACACTTGAACTAACAGTATACATAATTAGGTATACCAAAATTTCCTGGAAGGTAATACTAGCTACATCAAGGAAGCAATGGATTTAGATTGGATTTCAACTTTAGGAATTTTGGCTCTTTTGAAAAATATCACTAATGGCATGCTGGCGTATTGAATCATGAACCACCACAGCTATACTGCCGGGAGTGCTGCGCTGTAGATCACTGTGTCCAGCCTAACTCCCCTCCCTCGGATGAAGCAGAGCCCCATAGGAGGAGTCCAGGCAACAAGAGGATGTGGTAGAACAAGGCCTGACCTGGAAGAAGGCTTCCTCCCCGCTCATTCTCCAGAAAACCATCAAGCATGATGGCCTGCAGACCTTAGCCCCTCTTCTGGCTCCTGGTTACAGACCAGCTCCCCCGCCCCTTCCCTTATATTCACCACTATAAATAAACCCGCTGCATTTGCCTGGGGTCTTTTTCTCCCAGCAGGAGTTATAGCCCCACATGGCCCCACCTTTGTTTTTCTTTGTTCCGTTGTATCTTCTTTTCTTTACCTTTTCTTAATCTCCCACCATCCTTTCTCACCCCATGGACCCTTCAGCCACCCCAGCTGTGGCACTGTACCATTGCAAATTTGTAATCGACACGTTCCCAGTGATTAGCCCTCCAAGTGCAAACCTCAGACTACCACTCTTTTGGTATCATTGTATCTGAGTGATTCCACAATAAAATACATGCTATTTAATTTTAAATTACTTGGCTTTTATTACTCCTGTAGAGTTATACGGATTTTAAAAATATTCAAGTAGATCACCTATGATTTTCAAGATCAGATAGTGGGAGAATGGGCTTTAACTGAGATCGCAAGAAAATACAGCGGTACCTCATTTCATGAACAATTTTGTTTGCAAATAATTTGGTTCACAAACAACTTAGTCAAAAAACAGAAGCATTTGAGAATTGTGCATCGGGTGATGAACAGGATCATGGCGATCTTTCCCACATGGATATGAACGAGGCCATCTTTTCCAGAATCATGGACTGGATCAAGTTCGTGAACTGAGATACCACAGTAGAGCCTAAGGAAAAGATTAAAGTGCTATGATTTCACTATCAGGCTCCAAGCCAAGCAGCACAGGGAGAAAAAAAAAGGACCTATACCAGTGATGGTGACCCTTTTAGAGACCGAGTGACCAAACTGCAACTCAAAACTCATTTACTTATTGCAAAGTGCCACCCACCACTGCAATTAAACCTGAATGTCCGATGCTCAGCTGCTGGCGTGGTGCTGGGTGACGGCTCGTGCTGACAGCGAGGGCTCTGCATGCCCACTGCAGTATGAATGCCACAGGTTTGACACCACTGACCCACAAGATGTGAGAGGCATTAGCGCAATGCCTGTTCCACTCCAGACCCCACACAGGCAGCAGGTGCCTCTGCAGGAGCATGTGCTCAACAGTGTACTTCTCTAGGACTGCGAGACCAAACTGACCTTGGAATAGTACATGGGAGAAGGGAAGGAGCCCCTCCTTATCTGCCCATCTCATTTTTTCATCATTCAACGTTCATCCCAAGGCGAACTTAACTGGCCCACACTTCTGGGTTATATCACTGGGCTCCAACATCTAGCCCATCATCTGGGCCAGAAACCACACTGGGTGTGTTAATACTTCCAAGTCTAAAAGAGGAGGCAGGCTGGTGTGGGTGGGCAGGATTGGCCAAACAAGATAAAGACGGAGAGTATGGAAGAGCCTGGCAGACTGGGAGAGCATCAGGTTAAGGACTGAAAATGACGCACGCTTCCCAGGCTTCACCAAAAGCGCTTTGGCTGAGCTTCCAGAGCCACTTTGCCCATAAAGCAAAGCGGGCTCCAGCCTGAGCTGAGAGAGATCTTTCTGTTTTGTTTTGCTTTTGGTGCCGGGGATCAAACTTGGGACCTTGTGCTTAACGAGGTAGGCAGCAGAACCGCTGAGCTAAATCCCCAGCCCTAGCTGAGAGAGGTCTTTTGAGGAGCTTCTGCTTTAATTACCGGGCTTGTTGACTGCTATGAACCACAAATACAAAAAGGAAAGTTTCAGGTCAATGCTACAGAGGACTGTGAATGAGAAAGGAAAACCACAGACTGAAAGAAATTCCAGCAGTGTATTAAGAAAACAACGATGACCTCCATGATTTCATTCAGACGGAGTGAAAAATACACAAGAAATTACGCAATGATTACCCAAGATTACACAAAGAATTCCTAAAATTACATAAGAAATACATGAAAATTGAAGATAATCAGAATATCTATAAATATTTCTAAAGAAAACACTATTAACCATAACTCCAACTCCTGTATTCCCGAGTGTAACAGTCTATATACCCTTCTGTCAATTTCATGTAGGGGTAAATCATAATAATTTTGACTTATTTGACAAAAATAACATTTTAACAACACCAATTCTCTTATTATAATGTGAATAATAAAGAAAATAGTTCTTCATCCACGAAGACAAATATATATGCATATTGTATACATACTGAATAAACCTGTATACTGTTTACTCATTGGAAAGCATGAAAGTTTCTGATAATGTTATATTATCAAACTCGAGAAAAAAATAGCAATTGTGTAGCTAGTCTCCAAAATTGGCCCTCAATGAACCAAATCTTCCAGTCTTCAAAGCTTGTGTCTTTCCCTCCCACAATGAATTTGGCTGCCGTGCTTTTTTTTACTCAAAGGAGTCAGAAAGGACACTGCCCATTTCAGAAAACAAAGACTTAGGAAGTCCCGAAGCTTCAGAATTGCAGTTCTGAGACACTACTTAAGAAATCCAGCTACCCTATGACAGAGACCAGGGGGATCCAAGAAGAGTAGAGCCAGGGGCACTCAGACCACATGGAGAAATCAGGCCCAACTTTTCTAGCTGCCTGACTATGCCTGGCCTTCCAGTCATCCTTGCCAAGATTATCGGAGGAGGAGTGAGCCATCCTGAGCAGGTACTGAGTAAAGTAGCTGGGAGACCTCAATCCAGATGAAGTCACATGGGAGCGACCTAATACAGAGTAAAAGAAATACTACTATATTGCTTTAAGCTTGGACTAATTTGTTAGGCAGAAAGAAATAGCCAAAATACCAGTAAAACGTGATTTCCAAGAACAGTACATGTAAAGATACCACTCTAACGTAAAAAGAAAGGCATTTGTTAAATGGTTTATTGAAAACTTACGTGAGACAACTTACTAACTGTTTGTATTAAAAGTTAAGGTTAAATTCCCATCTCACAAAGTTTAATAAACACGTTTCACACAAATTTGATACAAATACAGATGTATTTGTATATAGCAAACAGCCAGACTAAATGATTTTTGCATCGTTAGATAGAGAAGGTAGGACGACACAGACAGACAGTGTAGAGGAAAATGATTGACAAATTTAGCTTTAGAAAACTAAAAAATAAAACCCCTCTTCCTTCAGGGAAAAGCATAGATTTTAAAAAGCAAATAAATGGATAAAATATAGTTATTTCCTAATAGACTCAACTTCCCTTACTAACATCCCTTTTAGAAATCACTAAAAATTGGGATCCTAATTATTTTTTAAAAGATAGAATAAGGATGCGAACAAGGTCATTAATATAGAAGAGTTGTAAATAAGGCACATATATATATATATATATATATATATATATATACACATATATATACAATATACATATACAATGGTCAGTAATCTATACAGCAGGGAAGTGCAAAAGGATTTTTTAATGTAAATATTTTTTGTCAGACTAGCTTGGCAAAGCTTAGAAAATAATAAGATGTCATCATAACATTGGAAAAATATTTGTCCACAGAAATTTTATACCCCAACTGGAGATTGTACACCCTTTAGTCCAGCAACTCAGCTTCCAGGCAAGTCTTAAATAATTGAACCAGTGTGAAAAGACACATAACCAGAACATACCTCATAATGGTTTCAACCACAATTTTTAAAAGCTGGGGAGAAGGAACCTAAATGTCTTCCAGAAAAATTTAAGATAACATATGAAGGTAGCTCTTTTAAATTTATTTGATGTAATATATGAATTATAGGTGTGATTTGAATATTTTTCAGATGTAACTATTTGTCTTAATAAAATTTATTGAAAGTGTTTTGTTTTACCCACTGAGTTACGATGTCACCTAAATTCTTATGAACCTCTTGTCAATAAGAAATGCCATACATAGTAACATTATTCTAATTTTTCTAAAAATTTCTGGATGTATGTTAAATATTTTGTTAAAACAAAAAGCAAAGAAAGAAAAACCATTTAATGCACCAAAACTTGCTTTTATTTTTATTGGAATTTTATAAAAGAAAACACAATTTCATATGCACCAGAGAAAATGGAATATATTTCTATATATTCAAGTTTAGATATTTTCAAAATTTTTGCTGCTCTTGTAATTAGGAATTTCCTTTTATCTTATTTTCACTGCCATATGGAAACAATTGAACCTATTAAAACAGTATTGCTAAAATTCTCTGTATGTTTATTAAAAACATAATCCTAAAATACATCTTTATGATTCTACTATTATAAAAGTATCAAAAATTACCCACCATTAGTCACAGCCATTTTGGGGAGGGGAGAATCAGGTGTTAGGTTTTGGAATTTCTTTGTATTAGTTGGAGGTGTTACTCATACATTGCTGCATAACAAATTACCCAACCTGTGGTTTAAAACAATGTTTATGACCGCTCAGTTTCTGTTTCAAAGACGTCTTCACATGGTTTAGGCAGGGTCTTTGGTTCAGGCTCCCTCCACAATGGGATGTCAGTTGCTCTGCAGCAGGGCAAGGCCGGACTACACAAAGGTCACCGTCTAAGGCTAGTCACGCGGTCCATTCGGTCCCGCGCCCCGAGGCTCTCCAGAGAGCAGCCCACAAAACGACAGCTGTGTCATCAGAAGGAGCAAGAGAGGAGAGCGAGACCGAGAGCAGGAGAGAGATGAGTGAGATAGAAGTTGCAGTCTTGTAAAACCCAGTTTCCGGAGTGATATATTCTATCCCTTTGCCGTGTGTTACTGCAAAGAAGTCATTAGATTAGGTCCAGCCCACACTCAAAAGAGAAGGGTAGGACAAAGGCATATGCATGGGGAAGTAAGGATCATCGGATCTATTTCAGAAGTTTCTGATTGTTTTGAGCAACTAAAAAGTTTAAACATGAGCATAAACACTTCATAATTATAATCGCTATTACTTTTGCATTCCTATACTAGACTTCTTCTGCTTAGGCTCATCTCTCCTAGCTTCCATGCTATGTAACCTCATCTTTTCCGTCTCGGTGTGTGTAGACCCTGTCTTCAGAGATATCTGGGCAATAGGACCTAGTGGATCTTGGAAGGGTAGAAATCCATGCACTGCATCTATGGCGGAGATAGCAAAACTCAAGCAGACTGTAGCATGTCAAAAAACATGTGTTTATTAATGATATACATTAGACAGATATTTGTTTATATTTATACGTAAAGACACGTTGCTTGCTTTGTCTAGGTTCAGTATTGCAGTTATAAAATGCTATAAAATAAATTGGTGGAGCATTTCCCTCTTTGTTCCTTGGGGGAGGTTTTCTAAGGTTAACTTTATGTACCTAGAACTCACCTGTAAAATTTTTGAGGCCTAATGTATTTTATTCTGCTTTGTTTTGCTTGTAGATATGTTCAGAATTTCTGTTTTTCATAAATTAGGTTGAGACATTTTTGTAAGAGCCTATTCATTTCAACCAAGTTTGCAAATGAACTGTACTCCAAAAATACATACAAGTATTATCCTCTAATTAAAAATAAAATAAAACAAACTTAACAAAGTGAATGACACAAAACTGCTTATGGTATTGTTTGAAAAGTTTGTATGTCCTTTACTGAATCTGTGGTTAAGGGCCACAGCCCATTGCTAAATTTATGGGAAAGAATGGGGGGGGGGATCCGCACTATTTTTAATTCCTTTATTTTTATAGCTAGAAACTTCTACATTTTGTATAGTACTTAAAAAAATACAACATTTGTTTTAGTTAATCCTTTCTGTTGTTTCTATTTCCTTTATTTTTATTTTATTCTGTTTTGGTACTGAGGATCGAGCTTGAGCCCTTGTGCTTGCGAGGCAGGCATCAGAACCACTGAGCTAAATCCTCAGCCCCCCCTTTTTATTATATTCTTCATCATGTTTTGAACTTTTCTATTCTTTTTTGAACATCTTGAGTTAGACACAGCTTGTTGGTTTTCTCAACAATTCTTGTCCTCCTCCTCCTCCTCCTCCTCCTCCTCCTCCTCC